TTCGTGTGACACACCGCTGTGGGCTTAGGCGGCCGAGGGCGTTGTGGGCTTCGCGGGGCCGAAAGGCAGGTAGCAGGTAAACACCGGTTGTTCGTCTCGTCGGGTTTTTCTGGCTCGTCGAGAGTGAACGCTGCCATTTAGACCAGTGTTTCGCTGCCGATGATGCGGACGCGCAACTAGTGGCGGGAATTCGGGCCCCTTCACACGCCGCCACTCAGCAGCACTTCCGAATGGCGCGTCTGTTGGTTTAAATGGAGGTATTCACACGAGCGGCGTAGTCTGCTGTGGCGCTCGAGGGTAAGGGCCGCTTTCACGCGAAGCCATTCAGTGACACCACCGAGAAGCGGCAGATCCCTTCAGAAGTCATCGCCGATCGCCACTAACCGCGAGAGAAAAAGGTTTTGTAAGTTACTCCACTGTGGGCTCAGGCAGCCGAAAGGTAGCTAACAGGCAAAAACCAGTTCAGTGGAGCGCCTTGTGTCAACGCTGCCATTTAGAACAGCTTTCCGCTTGCGGTGGCGCGGACGCGCGTCTGCGCAACTAGTGGCGGGAGTTCGGGTCCCTTCACACACCGCCACTCAGCAGCATTTCTGAGTGGCGTGTCTGATGGCAAAACATTGGTTTAAACGGAGGTATTCACACGAGCGGCATAGTCATGCTGCTGTGGCGGTCGGGGGCAAGGGGTACTTTCACACGCAGCCATTCAGTGGCGTCACCGAGATGCGGCAGATCCCTTCAAAAATAGACCGCCACTGACGGCAAGGGAGGAAGGTTTCGTGAGTCACACCGATGTAGGCTCAGGCGGCCGAAAGTCATCCAACGGGTAAAAACCAGTTCAGTGGCGCTTGTTTCAGCGCTGCCATGTTGAACTATGTTCTACCAGCGATGGCGCGGGCGCGCGTCTGGGCTTCGGTTCGGGAGTTCGCCACCGAGCGCCACAGCAGCGTGACTACGCCGCTCGCGTGAATCTTCCTCTTTGTCTCATTATTTTACACATACATACACTACACTACCGCATAGGCTGGAAGACTAGAGTTTGTCCCGCTTGCGGAGATACCTGGACGACGCAATTCCCGCAAGCCGACATGAAGGTCCAAGCCGGATCTGACCATCCAGCGGATGAGAAATACCGGCACTTCTAAACACAAAACATTCATCACTATAACGGGACTAACGACCATAACAGTTGACATGCACTTAAACATCAATCAAACTAACTTGTTCACCTATATCTATGTAAATATAAATAAACATGCGCGAAGCCTTTTTTCCAGTTTCCCCGTGCGAGGTGGCTCAGAGTATCAACTGATGTTACAGCAGGGCGTTTGACCGGAAGGTCCCAGGATTCGAGATCCGTCGGTGGCAGAATTTTCAACACTAGCTAAATAGCTGGGTCGAAATGATGATAGGATTTGCGACACTAACTACATAGCTACAGTAGGTCGCATTAAGCCAATGCCTGGAGGAGAATTCTGGCGGCTGGCTGCTCTGATCGGTAGTTTTCTATGTTTTTTTCGATCAACTTCGGGCTAATGCTGGAGCAGTAACCTAACAATATGGGCCACGGGCCGCGAGTGATCTATCCTTCCTCTCCCTTGCCATATTCTCACCTCCCACATACACACACTACACTTTACAAGCACTACACTACCACACGTGCCGAGAGCTTAGAGTTTGGCCAGTCTGGGACGGTGTCCCCCTCGTGGGATATTCTTAGACGGAGAAAACTCTGCAAGCCTACGAGTAGGTCGGCGTTGGCGATGGCCGGGGGGAAGAAAGCAGCCAACTCCACCGCCAACTAGATACATGCACATCACGGATAGGACCATAGCAGTTGGCGCGCTTGCAAACTACGTAATCGATCAACGCAACTATTGTGGAGCTCCTGATTGTTATTACTAGGGAGCGAATTTTGATGACCTAAAACAATGCCTAAAATGATCAATGAAACGCTCTTAAAATGCTTTAAAAATGCCATAAAAACAAAGAAAAATTACGTTAAAAGATGATCAAAACCATTTCAGAAGAACAACTCCTGCTCTTGGATATGTTACTGATGTAATCAAGTCTTCTTCCCTTTGTTGAAGTGAACTCAGCTCGCAAACATTGGGTTTGGACTGTTCTTTAAAAGAAAATCTCTGCCTTCACTTATCGCGAAATCACTCGAATTGACAATGGTGCCGATAAACGTCACAGAAACCTTAGATTACATAGTACTCACAACGGCTGACATTACTATATGAGCGACGAAATCGAATAGGCTACACAGGAATTCTGTGGTGAACATTTGTTGCACCTCGTTTGTTTGTTTGAAGCAAGTACCATTAAAACTATATTAAAGTCGATTAAATCAGCGAAAATACAGTAAAAATGACGTAAAAGGTAAAAAAAGACTTATTAGTCGAAGTCGACGTAAAATGCAGAAAAAGAAATAAAAATGGGTCATATCGTTTCGTCATAATATAAAATTAATTTCTGTACCAAACGGCATTGTTCTAAAGTGAAAAACGAAAAATGACATTCATTAAAATCCGCCCCGTAATTATTAAAGTCCACGAATATATGTTTCTATTCGACACTCCTGGGATCAGGAAAGTCATTATCGTACCTGAAACGTGAATTTATCTCAACATCTAGACGGCAGCCTTATCCGCTCAATGGGAAATCTGTCTAACACATCCCATGTAATTCTCACGCGAAATGAGACCCTACGAATATACACGAGTCCATCTGCCATCTAGAAATGTAGATCTGCAAGCGGGTTACGACTAGGGACGAGTCTTTATCTCGAGATTTCCCGAGTTCGGCTCAATATTCTGGTTCAGTAGTGACTCTGAGGACGAGCATACCATTGAGGAAATGTATTGAATTCCTTCACGTCCATTCGCTCAGGCACTTCCCACAAAGTGGGGTTTATATCAGGGCTGTCCAAATGCAACGCTTTGGACCACTCTAAGCGCGGTGGCCCACTGTTCCCACGCGTATCTCGCCTTTCGCTAGATACTTTCCGGGCAGTCAACTGTTGTGATCATTAATCCCATAGATGTAATGAATGTTTTATTTGTGGGGGCGGCGTGTTACTCCCTCACTGATTGGTAAGTTCCGGTGCGGGGGATTTCCCCCATCAAAGTATCTTCTCCAGCGGGTTACCACCGCATCTCGGAACAAGCTCTAAGTTTCCTTTTGGTCTCCTGGTGTGTGTTGTGTAATATATAATGTGTGTGTGCGTGTGACTGAACATGGAAGAGGAAGGAAAGATCTCGCGCGGTCTATGGCCCATTTGTAAGGGGAATTCCTACGGCATTCACCTGGTTTTGATCGGATAATGCACAGATGATAGCCTCCGAGAAACTAGTGATCAGAGAAGGCAGGTGCTAGAATTTCTCTGAATTTCTATTGAAATTATATATGTCCTACAATATGCAAGGGATCGACAACAGACTCGTCAACAGACACCGCGGTTTTACACTATCGAATCCCATTTCAATCTTAATAATTTAAATTTATAATGTATGTCTATATTATTTAGAATTATCAGAGGAAATTTTATTTCGAAATGAGAACCTATGTAAATTAATAAGTAAAACGAACAAGCAAAAGTATTACGTAAAAGCATCCACTTCCACGAAGGTTTTGCATTTACTCTTACTCCCAATTTAGTCCGCTCCGCAACCCTTTTTATTGAGAGCACGAGTAAGTATGTTATTTCTGAACCCGTGATTTCAAATTCTGAGGACACCGGTTCATAAAAACAACTTCGGTGAAATGCCTCACGTTCTTTTAAAAGTGGCCGTACGTTTCTTCACAATTTTCAAGGTCTTGGGAACATTCTCATTCAAAAACAAAAACATTTGCTCGGGCCTTATTTTTCCAGTCTAGTTTTGAGATCAAATGTAGGACATGCTGGCCTTGCGTTTGTTTGTCTTGATAGCAGTCGGGTTGATGTGAAATAGAAAGGGATATAAAGTATCTCTGAATTACAACAAAGATTATTTGTCTCTGCTTGAGTAAATTCAATTATTTGTTCATTGATAAAAGTGAATGAATAACTTTGACATGAAGCTCCATACCCCTTTGTTCACAAGAAAAAAACTCTTAATTTTGATTTATTCTGCTATTGCGTCTGCACATTTTCTAAAACTGTTGTTCTTTCATGGTGAAGTATTGTAACCTCTTTAAAAAAGTGAATGAAACCTATTTTGATAAAATAGTTTTCATTTTTATTGCTTATGCCTAATAGAAACATTTATGGTAAATAGCAATTAAATGTTTCTACAACTGGACTTTAAAAACCTAAATGATGTGCTTTAACTCAGTGAAATTCAAAATAATGTAATATTAGGAATTTCGGTTATGATGTTTATCCCATCACTCTAATAGAAAAATGGAATGAGTTTTGTAGTGTGTAGCACTCCACTGCAATGTGGTAAGCATAATTGTTACTTTCATTATTGCATATCATTCATAACATGTTATATAAAGACCATAAAACATTTGTTTCCCTCTCTTGACAAGAAGTCTTCTGATTTTGTCAAGCAATGTAAATTATTGAACAAAATTTGTTGGCTATTTAAAACAAGACTTGATTATATTGAATATTTTGTTTTAGACTTTGAATGATCGTAATTTATTTATTTGATTTATACTGACAAGAGCAGTAAATACTGTTTGTGACGTATGGGAGGGGGAGAAGTATAATTATTCAAAATTCGAACTGACTAAAAACTCATTTTCAAAATATCGATTTAAATTAATTTGCTTATAAATGATTTTGAGACATTTACAACTAGTAACTTTTGTTAAGCATCAAGCAACTTCAGTTATTTTTAACGGAAATTATTTATATGCAATATATAAAAGTAAAATAATAATTTATAATGGTAAATATTGTTTTATCATTATTAATAATAATTTGCACTAATTCTAGATTTTTAGAAACAAATTCACAAGTTTTCACTTGGTCGCTTCAAGCGACCCTAGCGGCTAAATTCTACAAATGTTTTGCTGCGATGAGTAATCTCGCAGGGAAATACCGGTTCGTGACGGTGAAGCAATTCTCGTATCGAGTCACTCGAGTCACCCTGATCGTTTCCTTTCTGTTCTCTGATAGTGATTGCGGCATGGTCGCAGTGTGAGGAGAAGCTCTTCCCGAGTGACGTCCACAGATGCTCGATTTATTATTATTTCTGGAGTGTTAAAAAATCAGTCACCATTCCGCAATTAATTGAAAGCCAGCCCAAAGGGTGGCCAACTTCCGTACAGGTAAGAATTTATTAAGAACAGTATGGAGTTTTCAGTTCCGTATAACATTATGTCACTGTAGAGGGGTCGGTGTTCGAGGCCGAGAATACTGCATACCTGATGTAGCAAATGGTGTGAAAATGTGTGCCATTGAATCAAAATGATGACTGAAATATTATTTATTGCTTAAATTCCCAATCTTTTGTAACATATCCGATGAATTTTTTTCCACAAATCTTTCCGTTACGCGTTTTCGTGATACCTTTTGGGAATGTTTAGAAAATAATAATCTGTAGTTTTCTGAGAAACATTTAATATGCCATTTAATGAGCTTTGTTAATTTCCTATGATTTTATTATTTCCCAAATCGAAGTAATCTTTTTAGTACAGGGCATGATTGACAGCTTATTCCACGGACATATAACTTCAAAACTTATATCGGGTGTGCAACTGACAAACGGATTCTGTAGAGGACGAAAAGCTAGGCCAATTGTGTCTTTGTGGGTCAAACAATAAAAAATTGTATTAAAAAATAGTTTGAAAAAGTTTATCTGGATGCTTTATAATTTATTGTGTTTGTAGGTTAATTTTACAAAGAATTGATATTTGACTTCGGTGAAATTAAGGGCAATGAATGAGAGGAACCCTGTGAACAACATTCCTAACAATAGACATAGGTAGTACTTAAATATGATAATTGTAATGATGGCTTTTCAGTTTTGGTAATGGTCCAGAACTATTTTTATGGGCAATTTCGGAACAGAAAAGAAAACTTGTTACCAAAGTATAAAGATCTGATTGTCAAAATTTTTAGAACTTCTTAAACTTAATTTTGAAGTCCAAAGAGAAGTTTTCTAAAGGACAGTTATTTAAAATCTAAATAGTTACTTGTGTGAAGGAATAATGTAATGTTGTGCAATGTTGAATGTGCTTTAAAAACCTGTGCTATTGCCTGTAAATACTTTTTATAAGTTATGAAATATAACTACATTCATTCTATTTTTATTCACCACAAAATGCAATGCACTAATATAAATTGCTACTTAAATTTTTGCTACATCCAAACTTTTCTCTTTTGAAATGTAACCACAAAAGAATAACGGTTGGTGTCCTTTTTCTATTTGGCTAATTGGTGAATTATTGGTTAGTGGGAACAAGAAATTTATTTATTATGATCTCCAAAAGAATTGTAATTTGTCTGGTGAAAATGTTTTGAAGACATAGATTTTTCTATGATTGAAATCTGTCAGTAGAATATCTGCTGTGATGATTTTGGCATTACCCTTTTAGGTGCTACTTTAATTTATGAATAGTTAATTTGAATTGATTTAGGATTGACTGCCTAGGGCTTTATTGCTTTAATTTGTAACAGAAGCAAATACATAATGCAGAACATTCACATTAATATTTAGAAAACAATTGTAATCAAAATTGAATTTTCAGACCATTTCTACAGTACTTTAATTTCTCAAAATTATGTAGTAGTAAATAAGGTCACTTGCACTTACAACACTCGAACCTTCATTGTTGAGGGATTTTGAATATTGGTTTTGTTTGCTATACATGCAACATATGGATGATTAGGATAAATAAACAGGATTGATAAAATAAATTAAGAAAAAAATATGAGCTAGTTGAAGAATTAATTTAGGCCTGAGGTATTAGGAAGCAAGAAGATATAATTTACAACAAAATTTTTCATTTCTTTGAAACGCTTTTTTCCTTGTGGTTTTGCCTTCATACCTGTGTGCCATTCATACCAGCGTGTATATCCACTGCAATTTTGTGGTCTTGCTGCTACAATGCACAATTCATCACTAACTCCCTGCATTGCTCGCACTTGCATATAAAAGCCTGCACTATCTGGCTGGGGTGTGGATGCATTCCGATTGATACACATTTACAACCTAAAGGTTATCAAACATCATAAGATGCTCAATTAAACTTGTTTTAAAGTAACATGTGTAATGCACAAGCTTTCAGCTACAGGGGTCTGGGTCTGATTTGAGATCAATCTATGTGAAGTTAATGGTGGACTGAGATCTTGACAGGATTTCTGGGAGTTCTCCCATATTCACCATCATCTCAGTACTCCATTGCTCCATCATTATTGTTATTATCTGCTTATTGGATCATTTCGTGGGTCTAGGTCATCAGCCTTGGAATAGTTACCTAAGTCTCCCCTATAACTCAGCACATTTGAAACTTTTAAACACGGTGCACTTGCTTATAAGTCCATTCTCGATTTAAATAAAATTACACTAAAATATTATTTTAAGTTTTGTATAATGTTAATAACTTAATTTCACAAAACATGTGAGATATTGTTTTACTGAGTCCTTCAATTTGATTCAAACACACTTTGATTATCAGAATTTACTGTCATTCTAAATATTCCCTCCAAATTTCATTGTATTTATTTCTAAGTTAGCTTTAATTTTGTTGAAAACTAGCTTAGAAAGAAATTAGTTAAGCATTCTTGTGTCTGCATTTCAGAGATTTAATATTTTGTTATTGTTTTGAATTAATTCTGAAAAATTTACCATTTTTATGACAGTTCTTATGAAGTACTTTGAAATTAGCTAATTAAGACGCTGCAAGCGTTGATAAGCAATACTAATCTTCCTAGTTCTAATGAAACACATGGTTGCTTTGTGAGATGAACTCTAAGAGGGTGGTTGAATCCATTGGACTTTGTTTCTTGCCCAGTTGCTGCGTGTTCAGAGATAACCTCTGTGACATCATATTCCTCCAAACTCACACAGACTTCATTCCAATGCTCATTCAGACTTCTGACTATCACATGGAGACTACAACTGGATAGAAGCATTGTCCTTTCATGGGTTTCTTCAAAGGGTTTCACACTTTAGAAATTTTAACGACGCTTGAGAAATATTGCCAGTGTGTAAATGTAGCATCTTCTGTCGCACTCTTTCTCTTTTCTTGCTCCTTGCTGTTATTTCATTGAATTGCTGTTTTTTCCTGCAAGAAGAGTGTGAGAATTTTTCTGTTCAGTGTAACTTGCTTGTGCTGAAATTTTGAATTGACATATTGCTTGTGATTCAATGGTGAGAAGGTATCATCTTAACATTTAACTTTGATTAGTGAATGCATCCACTGGTTCTAAGGAAAAGTGATCTGCGTGTGTGGCAGGTAATCAAATTTGGTAATGCCATTTGGATTAGATTTAATATCTTGAATAATTTGAGCTTTGCATTTTTCAGTTTTAGTTACAAATAATGATCTTGTGTGTGTACATGTATTAAGTTTTCTCTTGCCCTAAAAATGGTCAGTTGAAAGAAATGTACTAATTGCTGTTCTCTTTTTTTAGGGTTGTGACATCTCGGGTCGGCTGGTACAGAGCCCGGCAGCAGGTTTCTGTCTTTACGGTTCCAACTGGAGGTTGTCTCTGAACGGCGAACCTCCCTGGCCAGCTGACTGCGTTTCTAGCCTCGGCCACCCTACCCTCTCAATTCTCTGAGATTAGTGTACTTTTCAATTCGCACTGCATAATACTGATCAGAGGCTGCCTCGTAAGTGAACATTTTTTTATTGAAACTAAATTTTTAAAGTACAGTAAGGAAGCTTACTGGGCCCTGTAGCTTGTTTGCTTTAGGGTTGTAACATAGTGAGGCTAACCACTATACATCACCTTAAATACCTCATTCCGTCCCAGACCTTGCCTGAATGTTGAGAATGACTGCTTTGCCCAGGGGGAGAACAAGCTTTGAAATGGGCCTAAGAGCCACGTGACAAGTGCCACCTGGCAACCACGGTACTGCCCTACCTGTAAAAGGGCTCAAGTGCCACCATTGGCTAATGAGCCACAAGTGGCAGAAGTAGGTGCTCAGATGCAATGGGCCAATGAGAGCCCCTATGGAGGTTAGTGTTGGGTGTCACAAAAAGCAAGGGTATAAACCGAAGGCAGTGAGTGTCAGTTGATAACTACGAGGTTAGTTGATGTAAAATGCATGATTTTAAAGGTGGTCTCTGGAATATTATGAAGTAAAAATGAAGAAAACGAGTAGTTTGTGTGTATGAAAGCGTTTAGTTAAACATGATAGCAAATATTTACTACTGTAAATTTCTTTGCAAAATCTTATATTTCCTAACTTGCAGTGTCATTATGGCACTCAATTCATGGTGAACTGTTTAGAAAAAAATGTTGACCAAAGTAATAGCACCTGGGAATGATTCCCTGTAAGCATTTGAAATACAGATAGATGTACATTAATGTTCACGAGTAGACTGAATTTTCATGCATCAGGTTTTTTAAGTTTTTAAAATATGCATACAAACTTATCAAACACGCCAAATGCCTAAGCAGGCATGATTAATGCTCAAATTGAATGAAAATGTGCACTTTTTAATATTAGTATTTTATTCATTTTGTTTATTTTCATGTGTGCAGTAATGAACAAATGATAATTTTTTAGCCAAATTCATCAGTTTGGCTGAAATGTTTTTGAATGCAGAAAGTTTTCTATGTCACGAAACTCTCTATACATGTATGGCATTATATTTGCCATTACACTATTCATACTTCAAAAACCAAACAATTTGAACTTGCATAGGTGTTGAGAGAATTGCAATGTGTGTCAATCTTCTACACATACTTATTTTCCTTCTACTAGTTAGACAATATCAAGGGATTTCCATGTCAAGGAAATACTTTGAAAGTATATCCCTTTCTGACAGAAGATCAGTAATAACAAGGCTTTTTTTCAATTTTTTGAGAATTTGAAAATTTGCAGCTTAACCAAAAAAGAATTGAGTCATTAGTCCATGTCAGATTGTAACAGTAAGAACATCATATTTATATATAGTATGTGTTACTTGTAATGTTGATGTAATTTAAGCAAAACATCTTATTGAAAAGAATTTTAATGTGCTAAACACCTCAAAATACCTTGTTTCAGTATGTGTATTTAGACCTGTTTAGCCCATTAAACTACCTTTCACTAAGTTGTTATGCTTATATTACATCAACATTACAACAGTGCAACATTGCAACACATTCA